TGTGGTGCAAGTCGTGAGTCTTCAGGACAGTGATGGAATGACGGCAAGATCGACATAGTACCGTGAGCTTATTGTTTTAGTGGTTAGAAGGTATCACGGTGTATCGTGAACCAATGGTCGTATGATTCATATGGGTGGGACCCGGTAGTCATTTGATTGAGACTCTTAGGTCTCAGATCGTTAGTCTTATTGGCATGTTTGGGTGTTAGTGCATTGTTGTGAGTCGGGAGACATCATGACCAGCCGGTTTGGATCATGTGGACAGTAAAGGTTGTTAGGAGTATTAATTGTGCATCAATATTCTCTTGTTGAATGTTTGCATTATGAACCTTGTTTTTTTTGTAGGCTATTTATTAGGAGTTTGGTTACCAATATTAGGTATCGGTTTTGAAATCCCGAGTCATGAAGTTCTTTGTAAATATCTCAAGTGATTTGTTAGGTGGATGTACACCTGAGCTGATGAGGGATTTGAATGCAACGTGAGATTCTTGGATTGACTATCATTATGCTCGTGGGAGCAGTGGGTTCGTGATGACTTTTCAGGAAATCAAATGTGTATTTTAAGGTTTTTGGGCACAATTTTCGGATTTAGGATTGGGTGAAATTCATGATCAGGATGTTTTGAGTATTCTTTCTTCATGGTTTGGTGGTGTTCCTAGTCAGGGAACTGGGGGGTAGGTATGATGAATAGATGATCATCAGTCTTAGGGTATGGTTTCTAAAGTTTAGACTCATGGGTTCCCGGTTCTGAGAAGTATATTGATGCATTTGGTTTGTGTTTGTAGTCTTGAGAGTTCCTGGTTTGAGTGGTTCTCACTGGAAGTTGGGTCTTACAGTTAGGGAGAGAAATATAGTTGTTGATGTTAAGTATTTTCAAGTTATTGGGTTGTTTGTTGGAAGTTGTGGGTTTCCGAGTGGTATCTCAAGTTTTCCTTATAAGATGCCTTGATTTCGAAGCGGTTAGAAGAAGCTTATGGAATATGTTGGTGTTAGTTTCAGAGATCCTAACCAAGATGGATTTCAAGGACGAAATCCAGTTTAAGTGGGGGAGAATTGTAACATCATATATTGAGAAATATATTATTTCAGGATTGTGGACAATAAATGGATAAAGTAAATGCATTGGGCTTCAAGGGAATAGGGTTTAGACCCTATTGGATGTTGATAATATTGGTTATGTGATCTAAGCCCTTGGTCTGTGTCTTGGAGTCAAAGGGTAAAATGGGAAAAATGATGTTCCAGACTTTTTTCATGAATTAAGGATTTTATTTAAGTGTGTTTTAAGTCAAAAGTAATTAGATAGAGTTGTGGGGATCATCAATACCTTTTCATGCATATAAAGATCACCGAAAACGGATTTGGAACGAAGAAGTTATGGCTGATTAAAGTTGGAATGAATTTGGGTGAAAACCCGTTGCCATAGAGTGGAGATCAGAGCCCATGGCATGGCAGGCCACAGAGTGGAGAAACGTTGCAACGGAGTGGCAGTCTGTCAGGCCCAAGCCCATGATTTTAGGGTTTTCAACGTATATAAGTATAAGGTTCTGTATTTTTCTGCAATTTTAGCAGCGCCCATCATATCTAGAACACCTTGGGAGAAACCCTAACCTCCATCTTCAAGATTTGAGCTTCTCCACTATCCTCTCTCCTCTTTTGTATGCTTTTTATGTTATTTTGATGAAGTTTAAAGATCAAGAAGGTTCTTATAGGTGGAAGGAAAGTTGTTTCAAGTTTAGATCCATCAAAAGCTCTACATTTTTAGACTATTGTAAGTATAAAGTTCCAATCTTGCTATCTAGTTCTCTAGATCTTGTCATTTGGGATTTTTGGCACTTTTGGTCCTTTTTGTGGGTGGTATTGAACTTGAGGTGACTCTAACATCTTTTGATCAGTATGAAATGCTTCATGGACGTCATGTATTAGGAAAGTTGTGATCTTTTGCCTTCCTTTATAACCATGCAAGTTATCTTGGTCCTTTAGGTTATTTTTGTGTATTAAAGTTTAGTTCTTGAAAGTTTGTGGCATTGTTATGGATAAATTTGGAAACTTTATTCATCTAAACATCATGTTGATTTAGATCTGAAGGTTGGAGACTTGGACTTAATGGATTAAGTTATGGAAGATGAATTTTTGGGTCCCTTTGAGACTTAAAGTCCACATCTTGGTGGTTTGGACATTTCTAATGGATAAAGTTAGAAACTTTATCCATTAAGGCCTTGGAAAGGATCAAATCTTAGCTTTAGAGCTCTTGAAATCAGAAGAAATTGGATTGAGCTCGTTTGAGTTGTAAATACCAGTCCTCACGACGTGACCTTAGGCTGCTACGGCGTGGTGATTAGGGAATCATTGAGTGTTTTGGCATTTTGTGCCCACGAAATGGCCAAGGAAGACCACAACGTGGAGGGCTGTTATTGAAAATTTTGACCTTAGCTTTGACCGTTGACTTTTTGACTAGTTTAACTTTTGGTCAAACTTGGGTAGAATTGAGTTTTTGACTAAGGGTTGGTCTCGGTTTGGTTTTAGGAAGCTTGGGTTGTCTGTTCTGATGCGGAGGTGACTGTTGGGATTCTGTTGAGTAGTTCAGGTGAGTCTTTTCACTGTACGTATGGGTCGAAGACACTAATGTCGGCCTACCGGCTTGTGTAGGATGCTAGTTATCTTTGTGATATTTGCATAGAAGACCTCGAGGGTAGCCCATGGCATTTGTATGAAAGATCATGGGGGTAGCCCATGGCAATTGCATTAAAGATCATGGGGGTAGCCCACAACACTTGGATGCTAGACCATGGGGGTAGCCCATGGCATTCCATAGAAAGACCATGGGGGTAGCCCATAACACTTGGTTGTAAGACCCTGGGGGTAGCCCATGAAATTCCTGGAAATAGACCATGGGGGTAGCCCATGACACTTATATGTATGGTATGTGGTATTTTGGGGAACTCACTAAGCTTTGTGCTTATGGTTTTGTAGTTTAAACATTTCCAGGTACTTGTAGTTTCAAAAGGAAGAGTCCAACTTGATTGCACTGCATCCCCTGGAGATTTATTCCGCAATGATTGTTTATGATTTTACTCTGAAGTTTTGAGAATACTTTTAATCTAATCGTCTTTTAGGATAATGAATGAATGGTTTTGAATTATTTAAAATGAAAATTTTACTCGATATTTTTGGGACGTTAAATGAGGCTCGACATTGCCGTCAGGTCACGTCTAACATTATTTAGAATCTTGATGAATATATAATATGGGTCTACAATATATGGAATACATCAAACACAATAAACACTAATATGTCCCTCATAGTTTGAGCAGGAGGTTGACAAACTGTCAAACCGGTACGAAACTTTGAGAAAAGGGGAGATGATAAGTCTTTGGTGAAGATGTTAGCGAACTATTACCTCGAGGGAACACGTAGAACTCGAATTTGGCTGACAGAAACTTTGTCACGAAAAAAATATATATATAATTCTATTTGTTTCATGTGTTGGTGTTGGTGCTCAAAATAACGAAACCAACAAAAATCATAATCCACATCAAATTTAATATCTAAAATAATTGTATACTCTTAAAAGTTAAAATGCATTGCTTTTCGTGTATATATTTAGAGGCAATTGCATAAAAACAAATCTTTCAAACTTATGGTGTCATATTTAGCAAATGTTGCCCACTTAAAACAATAGAAAACACACTTATATCTCATTGGCCACCAACATGTGGATGGGTGTGATCGAAAATGGTCACACCAATTGCTGTTTTAGTTTAAAATATTAAAATATAGTATTTATTTATATAAAATATTTATTATGATACAATATATATTATGGATATCGCCACTAACTAATTTTTTTATCACATGGATATTCCTTTTAATAAGATGATGGTATGATTATCGTTTTCATAACTTTGACGGTTCGTAAAACTAGACTTACGAAGATCATCATGTATCTTTTGAAACAGAAAATTTATCATACTTCTAAACTACACCTTAAATCCACTTATGTCCACGACGGGACTTGAACCCTCAACCTCAAGGAGGGAGGGCAACACCGGATACCGCTGGGCTAGAAGCCCTTTGGTAGATCATCATGTATCATAATGTACTTCCGTGTAATAAAAAAAAGCTAGGGATGATATCAATAATATTCATTACACAATAAAGAATTTATGTAACTAAATCTTGTAATTATTATAAACTAGAAATTGTTCCATCTCTGCTTCGTGAGGATGCATACATGCGATACTTTTTTTACTATGTTCTAGTCATACAAAAGGAAATATTATTATTCGTTATTTTATCGTTTTGTATGTACGGTTTTCGGGGAGACCATACTTGTCGACATACCATAGTCTAGGAACCAAACCCACAATATACAAAAGTTGAAGGGGTAAAAATTATCATTGTTTAAATTTAAAGGGGGTAAAAGTGATATTTTATAAAGTAAATAGATGGAAAGTGTCATTCTATAAAGTAAGGGGTGGAAAGCGTCATTCTACAAAATAAGGGGGATGAAATTGCCATTATACGAAAATCTAGCGAAAATCTGCACACATAAGAAAATTTTGTAGCCAAAATATGAAATGAAAAAGTAGATTTGTGGCCAAAGTATAAAATAAAAAACTTTTGTTGCCAAATTATGAAAAGTGTTTTTGACATTGTAGCACATCAATGTTTGGTCAATTTGCACATTTAGTCACTAAAGTTTTTTTTTTTTTGTGCTCAATTGATCCTTAATGTTAGTAAATACCGGTTAATTACCCCTGATGCACCCGGTAAACGGAACAACTGGTGTTATTACTTACGTGGAATAAGTTTACATTATATATTTCATTTACTTTATCCACGTAAGATTTAGAAGTCAAAATAAACACATTTATTTACCCAGAACTACACTCCTTTTTCGTTCTTCCTTTTTCTCATCTCATAGTGATTACGAAGCACTAAACCTAGGGTTCAAAGTCGTTTTCTCCGAACGAAGTCAGTGAGCAGTCAACTAACCCACAATGTCTAGCTCGACGCCAAACCCTGATGGACTCTACCCTATAGTGGAGCTGAACTTCAAAGGTGTTTTTCTTAGAAATCCTTTCTCGTATAACCATGATATCAATTTCACTTTCAATGATCACGATTTTTCTGGAATGACATACGGTGAATGTATCACCTTTCTCGAATGGTTCATGCAAGAAAGTATAAAGAAGTTATACTACTGTGAACCAGGTAAGCCCTTAATATCTTGGATAACTGCTATTGCTAATAATGAAGACTATGGTGGTTTCATTTTTCAAGCATATGGGACAGATGGTAAAATTTGTATGTATGTGGACCATGATAGTCAAGGAATAGAATATTGGTTTGGTTCTGACATAGAAGAGGAGGATGGAGATGATTAATGCATTGATAGTGGTGAGAATGAGGACATAATTGATAACCTAACAGATGTGGATATGGACTTTATTGAGGACAAAGTCACTATGAATAGGACAAATGGTGATGACTTTCTAAATAAATTATGTGGCGAAGAGGAAGAGGGAAATGATAACAACATAAATGATGATGATGGGTGTGAAGAGGATGTCAATGTAACTCAACAACATTCCATTTTTAATGAGTTAGTCCCATGGAAAAAGCAGTTCCCGATACTTGGTATGAGGTTCAAATATCCAGCTCAATTAAAGTCAATGTTATGCAACTATGCCGTTGCAAATGGGTACCAACTTTTCTTCGAGAAAAATGATAGGAAAAGATTGTTGGTTAAGTGTTTCAAGGGTGAGTGCACATTCAGGTTGTGGGCATCTTGGATGAGTGATGAATCAAGCTTCCAAATTAAGTCTTTAAAGCCAGTCCACAAATGTTCAAGGAACTACAAGTTAGGGTCCATGGTCACTTATGCTTGGATAGGGAGTCATTATACAAGAGAGTTCTTACTTAGACACAAGATGAATGTTATAAAGCTTAGAAAACTTGTGTCACAGAAGTTTGGTATTCATGTAAATGTTGGTCAATGCAGGAGAGATAGGAAATATGCACTCCAACTAATAAATGGTACCCTAGTTGAACATTATGCAAAGTTATGGTCGTATGCAGAAGAGATTAGGAGATCAAATCCAGGTAGCATTGTGAAGCTTGATGTAAATCATATGCCAGATGGGAAGAACTAATTTAGTAAGTTCTATGTTTGCTTTGATGCATTGAAGAAGGGGTGGAAGGAGGGATGCAGGAAGATAATAGGTTTAGATGGTTGTTTCCTTAAAGGGATTTGCAAAGGGGAGTTATTGTGTGTTGTTGGAAGGGATGCAAACAATGAGATTTATCATATTGCATAGGAAGTAGTATTTGTGGAGAATAAGGAAAATTAGAGGTGGTTTTTGGATTTACTCATAGATGACTTGGGGATTAACTTAGGCTATGGATACGGTGTAATATCATATCAACACAAGGTAATTTAATTGTTTGTAATTAATTTCCCTATCTATTTGCATCCTTATTCACCATACTTTATATTTTCTAACATGGTTTGATTGAGACTGTAAAAGAGCTCCTTCCATATGTAGAGCATCGGCAGTGTGCCAAGCATATTAGCCAAAACCTTAGGAAAAGGTATAGTGGTGCCCAATATGAAAGCATATTCTGGAAGGCATGTAAAGCAACAACAGAGGTAGATTTTAAGGTTGCCATGAAAGAACTTGAAGTGCTAGACCCAAGTGCTCATCAATATCTGATAGACAAAGACCCCAAAACATGGTCAAGGGCCTACCTCCAACCAGGAAGATGTTGTGATGCTGTGGAGAATGGAGCGTCAGAGAGTTTTAATGCTGTGATTGTTGATGCTAGGAAGAAGCCAATTATCACCATGCTAGAGGAGGTTAGGATGTATATGATGGATAGGGTGTTCAAGAAGAAATCCAAGGGTCAAGGATAGGGCAACCAAATTTGTCCAAAAATTAGAGAATTAGTGAATGAGATTAAGAAATCTCTAAGACATTACCAAGTCTTACCTAGTGGACTAAATCAGTTTGAAGTAAGAGGAACTATAGATACTTATGAGGTGGATCTTAAAGAAAGAACATGCTCGTGCAGGCTTTGGAAGCTTAATGGAATAGGTTGTGTCCATTCTCTTGCAGCTATTAGTTATATAAATAGGAATGTAGAGTCATATGTTGACAAAATGTTCAGTAGCATCACTTACATGAAGGCATACATGTTTAGGTTAGCACCTATGAATGGAAGTAACTTGTGGCCTGCAACTGATTATACTCAAACACAAAACAAAGGTAAGGAGCAGGTAAAGGTATCTAAGGCTGGGAAAAAACAAAAATGTAGTCTTTGTAAGATTGAAGGATACAGCAAAAGAGCTTGTACTCTAACAAGGCCTCCTAAAATCAAAGCTAGAAGAAAAACAAAACAGGTAAATAAGTATTTAAATGGTTAATTCTTTACAATTTCTTTCTTAATTTCTAATAATGTTTCATATTGGTCAATCAGAGTGGTGCTCAAGCAGTCAATGAGGGTGATGAAGGTAGTGCAATTAACGAAGGTAATCAAGGTAATGCAATGAATGAAGGTGATGAAGTGAATGAGGATGATCAAGCAATAAATGATGATGGAGGAGCAGTAAATGATGGTGGAGAAGCAGTCAATGAGGTGCATGTGCAACAGCACTATGATAAGGTGAAACTCACTCCTTTGGATTTTGATACATAAGGAAATGGAGAACCTAGTCAGGTTCATGTGCAAGAACAGGAGGCTAGAGAAACACCAATTGCAACCCTTTTGAAGAAAATCAGGAGGAAGAAATCTGAAATGATTATCAAGTTGAAGCTGGGTAAGAAAGTTGGTGGTGTAGATGCACCTAGGAATTCAGAAGCTAAACCTGTTACCCTAGAATAAGTTTAAGTGTTGGTTTATGTGATATGAACATGGTATGTAGTGTAAAATTATGTGTTTTGGTGTACTGTTGTTATTTTTATGAAACTATGTTGGTTTATGTGATGTGTATTTTGTATTAATTAAGTTGGTTGTTATGTTGAGCTTTTTGTTATGTTATTTTGAAGTTGCATGCATGGAAAGGACTTGTCTGGTTAAACTGCATGGTAAGGGAATATATTTCCATATATAGCACATGTGGTCCATATGCCCTTACTAGCCCTTACTTTTGCACAAAAAGGACCCCTACACATAATTCTAAACACAATGCACTTTTAACTTGACAGAGTGAGGTCCTTATGGCCGACAATGTGGTACCCGAACTTCAATTTTTAAAAGGAGCACATGCATATTATTAAATTTAGCAAGGTATGTAACAAGTAGGATCTTTCATACCATTCATTGAATCTACAAAAAAGTCATTACAATTGTTCTCTTCTACTGTCGTCCCATTACATCTACCATCCCATACACATACTGATCAAACAATCATTCAACCAAAAACCTGATTATACATTACAACTAGGATCTAACCATGACCATGTACCAATACACCCATACACTTCCCAAAAAAGCAAACAACTTTCTACATCTACCCATACACTTTCCAAAAAAACTGGTTGGAATTATATATCATCAACCATAAATACCTATTTGACTAGCTGCACTTTTCAAGGGCATTTCAACCACATAGCACTGACTATAATGACCATAACAAAGATCCCACACTTTAGCAATTTGTTTTGTTTCATCAACTCCGTCAACTATGTCTCAAACAATTGTTTATCTGCTTCCATAGCTTACTACAGCTTAACCAACTTCTTTTGATCCTTCGAAACTTCACTGAAGTCTTCTTTTCTTTTCAGCTCAAACCTCATCTTGTGAAGATGGTCTTTATAGTAACCCTCCTCCATTTCTTTGTCTTTCCACATAAAAAACTTGCATTTTGGACCTTTAGTTGCCTGATTAAAAGGGAAGACCAAAATTAGGGTTAGGGTTGCGATTAATGAAAATGTGTACATTACCAGCTCAAAATAACAAATACGGTGTAAGTAAACAAAAGGAATACTCACCAAAGAGTTTTTGCAGTTCCAAAACATGCGAGCTACATTATCGTCGGTCCATGTAGTCCTTTCCACGCTTATTGCGTCTTGACAATCGCAATGTGGACAGGGTTCATCATCACGAAGGTTTCCGACACGCAGGAGGTTGATCAATCGACTGGAGGAGGCAGACAATGCTCTGGTTATATCGATTGAGTATAGAGTATCGGGAGGGAGGAACTGAACTAATTTGGGGTAACAATGTATCGTTGATGGTTCAATATAAGGTTCATTTAAGGAAGGTTTCCATGTGTCACACCCCGAAACCGATGACTGAAATGTTCCGGGGCGGAGCGACGTCATGCGTAGTATCACAACAGTTGTATCATAGTAAGCATAGTAAACACAATCCAGACATTGTATACATACATGAAAAGATTTACATTGTCTTAATACAAAATTTATACATATTATTATATAGAAAAAGTAAAAGACGTGGATCATATACGCTACGTCTTCTCCCAAAAGACGTGGATCCTATACGCTCCGTCTTCTCCCAAAAGTCGGCAGTTTTAAAATATCAGCATAAAGATGGTGAGTTCATAAGCTGTTAATTCTGGTAAAAGATATGTTTCTTTGATTCTTTGAAAAGTTGTTTACCAAGAAAATCCTATATTTTCTTATGAAAGAGGTTTAGTTTCTCATTAGTTATACGATAAACCATTGTTTATGAAAGTTCGAGTTGTTCCCAGAAAATCCTATATTTTCTTATAAGTTAAAAGTTATTTATCTATACGCGAGTATTTACCATACTCAGAAGGCGGTTTTCTTTTCGAAGCTCTGGTTACACCCAGAGGAATTATATTAGAAGCTCTGATCACACACAGAGGAATTATATTTGAAGCTCTGATCACACACAGGGGAATTATATTTGAAGCTCTGATCACACACAGAGGAATTATATTTGAAGCTCTGATCACACACAGAGGAATTATATTTGAAGCTCTAATCACACACAGAGGAATTATATTTGAAGAGTAAATTCTCGCTACCTAAATTGTGAGTGCTATAACCGTACTAAGATTGGATAAGGCGCGCAAATGGGCCAATATCATTGATGACTTTGTCACCCCTGAACCAAAGGGTTCCACTGTAGCTAGCAGCGAGGGTGTGGGATAGTCAGTCCCATATAGTCTATATACAATAGTCACGCTCTCCCTCCAAGATAACATGGTTATAAGACACAACCCTCCACTCACGTACCGGGGGAGTGTTACCGAGGACATGTCTCAAACTTAGCCTAACGAATTTACAAGTGTTATTACAAAGATCCTTTTATGATTTGCATGAATTCTTTATGAAATAATACATATTATGATAAGGTTCATGAGTTCTTTTCTTTAGATTTGAAAACTATTACTACGAGTTGATTTCTTAATCGATTTGTAAAATAGTTTTCTAAGTTAAAAGCATGCTGAACATGAAATCATATTAAACAATAAAAGATAATTCGAGTACAAGTTTCCTTGTACTTTTGCTTGTATTCCCCCCTTGAAAACATGAAAAACTCAGAAAAGTATAGGGGTATGAACTCACGGGTGATTCGGATGAACAGACGGTATACGATGCTAAGTGTAAAGTGAGGACTTGAACACACACAATGAACCTAATAACATATAATTACACATATATGAATACTTTTTAATGTATATAATCACTAATGGTGCTAGGGACACGCCTTAGGGACATAAAACACTTAGAATTAAGTGTTACCAACACATATGGTTGCACATAAGGGGTGTATGGTCATATATTGAAGTGTAAGGCCATAAAATCATGGTTTCTATGTGTGTGCGGCCAAGGTGTGTGTGCGGCCGCACACTCCCTATGAAGTGTGCCAAAACGTATTTCCAAGCCTTAGGAATGTTCTAGGGAAGGTGTTTTGACCATTGCTTAGCCGGATTGAGAGTTTGTTACTATTTTGGACCCTTAAAAGGGTGTGTGCGGTCACACTTGGCGTGTGCGGCCAGGTGTGTGCGGTCAGACTATGTGTGCGGTCGCACGCAGGAGTGTGCGGTCGTACACAGGAGTGTGCGGCCGTACACTCCTCATTTGTGTCCGAAATGACGATTTTGAGGTGTTTTGAGGTGTCCTAGTGCCAATACTAAGTCTAACTAGCAAATGGGGGGCCAAACTCTTCACTTTGGAGAGCTTTAGGGTGTGTGCGGCCACCTTATGAAGGTGTGCGGCCGTACACCTTCAAAGCATGAAGAACACGAAGAACACTATGAGTTTTAGGCTTAGATTCGAGTGTCTTACCACTATAACCAGCTGAATGATGAAGTGGTTCATGTTTTTGAGGCATTTAGAGTGTTCTTGGATGAAGTTTTTAGAGAGAGAAAGTAGTGAGAGAAAGCCAAAAGAAAGGAATGAGTGTAGGGGTCTCCTCCTTTATATAAGAGGGGGAGTGCAGCTGGGGGATGGGTGTGCGGCCGTACACACCTCTTTGGAGGGTGTATGGCCCAGTTTTTGCTTCTAAACGACGTGTCGACTCATTCCTAATTTTATTCCCAACTGTACTCAAGCTTAGAACATTTAAACGGACCCTAAAATAGCATAAAATGGTGACGGAATCGAGTTTAATATTGATATAAAAATCGATTGTACAAGATAAAAGTTTCGGGTTGTCACATCATCCCCCTGTTAGAGGGAATTTCGTCCCAAAATTCGAATATAGAATACCAATCATGGATTAGAAAAGAGATGTGGATACTTCAGTCTCATCTGATCTTCGCGCTCCCAAGTGAATTCCGGCACTCGCTTGGCGTTCCAGCGCACCTTATCGATTGGGATGCGGATTCGTTTCGTTTGCTTAAACTCTCGGTTCACGATTCTACAGGTTCCTACACGAAGTTGGGGCTCTCATTGATTTCGATCTTGACGAGTGGGATTTCGGGAGTCGTGTCGGACAAGCACTCTTTCGAGTCTAAGACAGGGATAGATTTGGGTGGAATTTATGGAATTCCAAAAGTAGTTGAGGTCTGACGGGGGTTGGACCAATTCTTAACAAGAATTTCAGATGGTCCTAAGCTCTTGAGAAGATAGAAGGTTTCGGATAAGAGAGACGACCGACGGTTCACATTAGGTTTTCTTATTAAGTTCGGAAGAATCTTTATTTGACGCATAGGCTATGGTGAAAGTTCTTTTTACGCAACACTAGGAATTTTCACATGGTCGCACCAAGCCGAACCATGATTGACGGCAGTGTCGAAACTTACAATCATCGACACGATATGGAATGAAGATCGATAGGACCATGTGCTGAATAGGGCACGCAAGTCCTCAGCCTCTCGGGTTTCGTCCATGGTATCACTATCACGGATACTTGGACCGATATAATTGATGCGGAACTCTAGGGGTTCCTGATGTTTTGGAATAATGTACCTTTCATGAATGGATTTCTCACGAGGCCTCTCTATGACCGCCTAGTATACACTAGTCATGTATCATTAAGATTACAAGGACTGTTGACTGAGCAACTCCACCCTAAATCCACAACCAAACAAGGAACAGAAGATAAGGCAGCATCACTCACTCGAGGTCTATCCATCTTAATTATAAATGGCCTTAACGTATATATTAAGCCATCATAGCTTTACCTAATGGGTTTTTGAATTCCTACAACAGTGCTGCGACTTTCGCTTTAACGAGGGAGTAATCACAATTAGAATTGATTTATTTAAAGTTATCGGTTAGCTACTTAGGATTGGGAGACGTACCAAAATTTTACCGGGTTCCTAGATGTTTTTCCCTTAGGCATTAGGGTTAGACTCCTCTTGGTTCATTGTCAGTACTCTCCTCGTGCCTCCAGTTGTTGTTGCCTTGGGGCGGTTTCTCTTATAATGCCCGACTTCTCCACAT